GGGGGTTAGGGGAGAATGCAGCAATAGGGGAGGGGGTTTGAAAACATGAGGAGACAGGAAGGAGGTTTGACAGGAGCTCCAGTTTCTGACAGTTCCCAACTTACCTGACGCAGCTTGGCCATCGATTCACTGGGAATCATTTCATTCTTGTGGAGTCTGGTGATGAAACACAAACCCTGGAACTGTCTCTGACCTCGTTCCAACTCGCCCAATATCAGGGAACGGATAATCTTTACATCCTTCGTAGGAGCCGGCGGTTAGAGAGAAGAGAAAAGTGTTATTAGATTGTTTTATTCATTGATGGGTTGAGAGTGTCACTGGCTGGGCTCAGCATTTCTTGCCCATCCCTAGTTGCTCCTGAGAAGGTGGTGGTGAGCTGCCTTCTTGAACAACTGCAGTCCTCCTGCTATGGGTTGACCCACAATGACATTCAGGAGGAAATTCCAGGATTTTGACCCAACGACAATGAAGGAATGGCGATATATTTCCAAGTCAGGATGGTGAGTGGTTTGGAGGGGAACTTGCAAGTGTTGGTGTTCCCATATATCTGCTGCCCTTGTCCTTCCAGATGGAAGTGGTCATGGATTTGGAAGGTGCTAACTGAGGATCGTTGGTGAATTTCTTCAGTGCATCTTGTAGATAGTACACACTGCTGCTACTGAGCGTCGGTGGAGGAGGGAGTGGATGCTTGTGGATGTAGTACCAATCAAGCGGGTTGCTTTGTCCTGGATAATGTCAAGCTTTTGGAGTGTTGTTGGGGCTGCACTCATCCAGGCAAGTGGGGAGTATTCCATCACACTCCTGGCTTGTGCCTTGTAGATAGTGGCCAGGCTCTGGGGAGTCAGGAGGTGAGTTACTTGCTGCAATATTCCTAGCCTCAGACCTATTTTTGTAGACATTGTGTTTATGTGGTGAGTCCAGTCCAATTTCTAGTCAATGGTAACTCCCAGGATGTTGATAGTGGGGGATTCAGTGATGGCAATGCTATTGAATATCAAGGGATATCGGGTTAGAGTCTCTCCTGTTGGAGATGCTCGTTGCCTGGCATTTGTGCGATGAGAATGTTACTTATTGTGCAAAAGCGCAGAAGATGTGTGAAGCTCCCAAGTCTCCACTCATCATTGAGATTCTGTGACTGAAAGGAGCTTGGACTCTCAGCCAATGGACAGCAAAAACTAAAGTCTAAAAGCGGTGGTGTGAGAACTAATGTTTCAAATCAGTGACTTCATCAGAAGTTGTCATTTTCTCGGATTATATTTAAATATAATTTCAGGAAATGATTGGATCAGAAATCTCTCTCCACATGAGGGCACCAAAAACCATCAAACCCAGAGCCTCCCACTGACCACCACCACCCCCCCAACTTTCCACTGAAATCCCCACCCTCCCATTACCGTCTCCCACCAAACCATCCTCCTCTGTCCCCCCACCCCAACTCTGTCTTTTCAATATCCACCCCTCCTTCCTCCAGATCACAGGGTAATTAAACATTCATTAAAATTGTGCGGAGTCTTGCAGGATAACATCTGAGTTTTGGATTCCAGTCTGACCATCTCCCACCAATCACTGAATAACTAGAAACATCACTAAACCCTGGACTTGAGTTTGAGAGAGACAGGTCATTAGGGAGGTTGTAAAAAGTTCCTCCAATCATTTGAATATTGACTGCAATGACTCACAGCCGCTCCCCACACAGACACAGATTCTCACACCCAGTGTTTGCTCAGCTTCCCACACACATTGGAACTACCGTGAGCCTATCCTTCATTTGAATGTGGGAGATTTTACTGAGAAACTGAAAGATGTTCCTTTTAAATAAAACTATTACAACAACCTTTGATCCCAAAGCTGCTGATTCCAATCACAAGGCATATTTTCCCAGGTTACCAAGTTTCTTACCAAATGCCAAACAATTCAATAAACAGCAGCTAAAGCACTACTGTTATATGGCGATAGTGTAGGGGTGTGTAAAAAAACATAACCAGGAGATTAGATCTCCTCAGTTGGGGTGATTGACTCTGAGCTGACTGTCACAGCCAGTGTGCTGTGGAGGAGGAAGATTTTTTTTTAAAAACAGTCCAAAACTCAAACAGCAGCCAATGAGGAGATCAAGGGCCTGAGGCAGAACCAAATCCACCTGGAAAATACCTGACTATCCCAAACCGGAGCAATCTGGGTGACTGAGTTGGCAGGATATCACATCCACATGTGGGACATGGTCTCCAAAATGGGAAGGGAATTTACAAATGGATCCAATTGCTCTACACTAATATTATTAGTGCAGTCTTAATCAATAGGTGGGAATCTGAAAGTTTCCCGATCCGATCCGGAGTCAGGCCGAGCTGCTCATTCTCTCCTTCCTTGTGTGTGTTGTATAGAGCCCTTTGCCAAGTCCATCAGCAAGTTTGGGAGCCTGAGAGGGGGTGACTATTCCAGGCAGCAGAGGCCTGAAGGTCAAAGCCTTCCTGCACATGCCATTTTCTGCTCGGATCTGCTGTCAGAGCCAAGGTAAATCGAGGTAAGAGTGAGGCTGTGTTCTTTGGGAACTAAATCAACTGATCCTCTATCCCTTTCACCGTCAGGGCAGATTACCTGAAGGTGCTCGGAATATCGTTTGGAGAAGTGCATAGCCAAAGTGAAGCAGAAACTGGGCTTTTGGGAGCTCCACTCCCCCTCCATTGCAGGTAAAAACCTGGTCATTAGGTGTGGAGCACTCTTTTGTTGTACAAGATGCAGGTCTGGCCCATTCCCTGAACCTGCGCCGTTGCTGTCACCCGAGCCATCCTCCCTATCATTTGGAGGTCTGAGATGGATGTGTCCACAGGGACACTGTGTGTGTGTGTGTGTGTGTGTGTGTGTGTGTGTGTGTGTGTGTTGGAGGTGGGGGGGGTGCAATACATAACCAACATCGTTTTGCATAAAACTTATTGGTCTTCCAGAACAAGGGCGTGACCCTGACCAAGTGCTGTAGACTGGCACATTCCAAGGTGCAGGATTATGTGCTGAGGGACGCACTAAAGCTTGGGGAAGCTGCTGCCGAGGTGCATTGGGGAAACAGCACTGTCTGAAGTCTTCCTGCTGATGATAAATGGGGGTTTTAGTTATCGGACCCTTCTGGTGCCTCGAATATATGTGATTTAAATCTTGTACGTGAAATGCCTTTGCATATGTTTGTTCTCCATATGCAAAGACTGTACAGACTGACTATGTATACAAAGAGTAATTTTATGAATAAAGTATAGTTTTGAAATTAAAAGAAGACTGGGCCTGGCAAGTCTTCAGGCCACTACCTTCATTAGAATAACATGGTCTAAGGTACTTTCACACTGAGGCACAGAGATATCAGGACTCAAAACTTGGCTAAAGACATCAGCCCATGTCCACATCTGGAGTATTGGACATCCAGCTGTGAGTGAAGTTTTGATGAGTAACTAAAGATTGTGTAACAGATGCTTTCTTTAGTCATGTAGCCTCAATTGTCAGTCTAACTGTAATTGATAGCCATTTGCATATTTTACAGACAGACAAGAATCTGAGCATCTCCACTCTGACTCTCAATTTTGGTGAATGGGAAGGAAAAGAAAGATGAGAGAGACACACACAACCAAGAAACAGTGAGAAATGGACCCTAGCTTGTCAAAATACCAGGAATCAGGTTCATGAGATGGGGAAAAGTGAGGTTCTTAATGCTTTGTTGTTCAAAATAAAAAGTGATTTTCCATTCTTTGCTGGTGATGAGAGAAGGGAGGGAGTGAGTGACCTGTGAGAGTTCGAGGGAGCAGATGACCTTCAGTTGGACAGGGACAACCCCCCCCGACCCCGGGACTGAGCTCCAGGTCAGAGAGTCTAATTCAGCCAAGTGCGCTCTCACAGCCAGCACAACTTCTTCCTCCAGAACATCCGACATCTCCTCTCTAACCCCATGAAAACACGTCAGAACAACTTCCTGTCACCCCTCTGACTAATTCCTCCTCTGGACAGAGTTAGACACAGTTACAGTGAATCAGACGAAGCAGCTGAGGGTGACCAACCTGATTGATAAAGTAACAATGTCTAAGGTCAATGTCCAGTATACAGCAGGATTAACCACTTCTCAGGTACACTGGAACCCAGGCACAGTGAGGCTAGAGTCTCTGTGAACCCGGAATCTCACTGCACAGGAAGAAGCCACGAAAACACAGAGGTGGAGAGTGGAAGTGACTGAGAGAGGCCAGAAAGCTGAGCGTAGCCTGAATCATCCCCCTGAGGATTTGGTGTTTATGGCAGATTCAGGATTTCGGCTGGAGAGTCCCAAGGGCCCACAACAGGAGCTGCTCATGTTATGGCCTTTCATTAAACAGTGAATGAGCCCAGTTGGAAAGATGATCCAAGGGTTCATTCTCCCCACATGCACATGGGGCTGAGAATTCAGGCTGGCAAAGGAAGTGCAGGAAAATTGCTGAACTACTGGAGTTGGAAAATAAATTTCAGTCAAACTTCACAATACCAAACTCTGGAATAAGAGTCTCATGTTTGGAAGCTCAAAGTTCAGTCTGTATAATTGGCCATAAAAATCAAATGCAGTTAAGGAACAGAATTGAATTCAAATAGCCAACAAGCCTGGAGTGCTGTAATGATCAGGCCATAGCTGAAGTACTGAGGTCACCTCTCTATTGGAAGTATGTGATAGCACTGGACGGGGTGCAGAGGAGATTCAGCAGGATGTTGCCTGGCCTGGAGCAGTTTAGTTCTGAAGAGAGGGTGGATAAGACTGTTTCTTAAGACAAGACAAGGGTTGAGTGGGGACCTGATAGAGGGGCATGGACAGGGTGAATAGGAAGCAGCTGTTCCCCTCAGCTGAAGGGTCAAAATGAAGGGAGCACAATCTTAAGATGAAAGACGAGAGGTTTAAGGCAATATGAGGAAACTGTTTTTCACCCAGAGGGTGGTGGGAGTCTGGGAGGCACCGTCTGGGAGAGTAGTTGAAATGGGACGTGCACTTGAAATGTCATAACATTCAAAGCAATGGGTCTAGTATGTGAAAGTGGGACCACTGTAGTGTGTTTTTGGTGGTACAGATTCAATGGGCTGAAGGGCCTCCTATGTACAGTATGATTCCATGATCAGGAATTAAACAATGAGTAACACACTGCAACCAGGTCAGACAGCACAACACTCAGACACCAGCGGCTTGACAAACTGGTCACTGTCCTCCATAAATCCAATGGGATAAAGTGCCACAATCCCATCCTTGTTTCTGGCTCCGTCTGTTGGACCCAAACCCACATTCCCCGCACTCCAATTCCCCTCAACCGCCGCACTAATCCCCAAGCACTCACCTTCAACCTTCTCTCCCTCACTCTGCCATCCTCTCCCCATCTCCACCATGCCCTTCCCATTTGTTGCAGTACAAAAACATGGTAAAGTTCACATAGCAAGATCCCAAAAATAGCCTTGAAATGAACGAGTGAAACTAGTGCTGTTGCTAATGTTATAAATACACTGTGGAAAACTCTCCCCTCCTTCCTCATTGTTCTTCCAACTGTTTTTTATGTTCAGTTGTGGGACATGGGCATCATGGGCTGGGCCCAGCGTCTATGGCCCATCCCTAGTTGTCCTTGAGAGGGTGGGGTCGAACTGCCTTCTTGAACTGCTGAAGTCCAAGTGTCATAGGGAGACCTACAATGCCCTTGAGGAGGGAATTCCAGGATTTTGACCCAGTGACAGTGAAGGAACAGCAATATATTTCCAAGTTAGGATGGCTTGGAGGGGATCTTGCAGGGGGTGGTGTTCCCATGTATCTGCTGCCTTTGTCTTTCTAGATGGATGTGGTCATGGGTTTGGAAGGTGCTGTCTGAGGTGAATTTATACTGGGATCTTTAACATCAAGGTGAGGGGGGTAGTTGAGGCCTTGGGATAACATCTTGTCCAAAAGACAGCACCTCAAAAAGTCTCTTCATATCTCAGGCTGAATTATAGCTAAACTGAGTCACTGTCTGGGTCAATATTCTACAGATGTACCATAGAAAGCATCTTACCCAGATGCATCACATCTTGGTACGGCAACTACTCTGTCTAAGGCCACAAGGCCCAGTCCATCACGTAAACCAGCCTTCCATCCATTGGCTCTATCTACACTTTCAGCTACCTTGGGAAAGTAGCCAATAAAGACCCCTCCCACCCTCTTCCATCGGGCAGAAGCTACAAAAGTTTGAAAATGTGTACCAACAGATTCAAGAACAGCTTCATCCCCGTTGTTATGAACAGACCGCTCTAATATATGAGTTAATCTTTCTCTGCACCTTCTCTGTTGCTGTAATACTATATTCTACATTCTGTTCTATTACCCTGTCTTACTTGAGGTATGATTTGTTTGGATAGCAGGTAAAATGATACTTTTCACTGTGACAATAAGAAATGATTTATTGCCCATCTATAGTTACCGTCAACAAGGTGGTGGTGAGCTATTCTTGTTGAACTGCTGCAGATCAGGGAGTAAACAGACCCACAATGCCCTTAGGGAGGGAATTCCAGGAGTTTGACCCAGCAACAGTGAAGGAATGGCAATATATTTCCAATTCAGGATGGTGAGTGATTTGGAAGGAAACTTGCAGGGGGTGGTGTTCCCCTGTATCTGCTGCTGTTGTCCTTCAAGATGGAAGTGGTCGTGGGTTTGGAAGGTGCTGTCTGAGGATCTTAAGTGAATTTCTGCAGTACATCTTGTAGATAGTACACACTGCTGTTACTGAGTGGGTCAGTGGTGGAGGGAATGAATGCTTGTGGATGTAGTGCCAATCACGTGGGCCGCTTTGTCCTGGACAGTGCCAAGCTTCTTGTTATTGGAGCTACATTCATTCAGACAAGTGCTGAATACTCCCTCACACTCCTGACCTGTGCATTGTAGATGGTGGACATATTTTGGGGAGTTCCTTATCACAGAATTCCCAGCATCTGACCTGCTCTTGTAGTCACTGTGTTTATATGTCTAGTCCAGTTGAGTTTCTAGTCAATAGTAATCCACATTATACAGATAATGGGGATTCAGTGATGGTAATGCCATTGATTGTCAAGGATAGGTGGTGAGATTGTTTCTTGTTGGAGACATTGCCTGGCTCTTCTGAGGAGTCATGAATGATGCTGAACACTGCTGTTGTCACTGAACATCCCACTTCCCTTATGATGAAGTGAAGGTAGTTGGTGAAGCAGGCGAAGATGGTTGGCTGAGGACACAACCCTAAATATCTAAGAATCGTGGCACAGTGGTAGTGTCCCTGTCTCCAGAACAGATGACCCCAGTTCAAGTGCTAGGTCATAATGCCCCTAAACAGACTGATTTAAAAATACCCTGAGGAACTAGGGGCTGTCATGGTGCAGTGGTAGTGTCCCTACCTCGAGTCAAGTACAAGTCCCACTTGCTCCGGAAGTATGTTATAATACATCTGCACAGGTTGATGAGAAAACAGGAAGCTCTGTGTCTACCTCTGAACTAGGAGACCTGAATTCAGGTCTTACTTCTATATGCGTAATAACAATCCTGAACAGGTTGATCAGAAAATATCTACTCTGAGCAACTCTTATAAACTTGTCCTGGAATGGAGATGATTGACCTCAAGCAAACACTGCATCTTCTGATATGCCAGGTGCGACTCCAATCAGTGGACAGTTTGCCCCTTGATAACCATTTTTAAAAGTTTTACGTGGCTGGCTCAGCATTTATTACCCATTCCTTGTTGCCCTTGAGAAGGTGAAGATGAGCTGCCTTCTTGAACTGCTGCCAGCCATGTCCTGTAGGTTGCCCCACAATGCTGTTGATCCCAGTATTGCTAGGGTGTCTTGATGCCACACTCAGTTGAATGCAGCCTTGATATCAAGGGCTGTCACTCTCACCTCATTTCTGGAATTCAGTTCTCTTATCCGTGTTTGAACCAAGACTACGCATGTTTTGTTACTTAACTATAACAATGATCAGATTAAGAAATTATATCAAAATAAAAACAGAATTGTACAAAAAAACCAAAGAACTGCAGATGCTGGAAATCAGAAACAAACACAGAAATTGCTGGAGAAACTCAACAAATCTGGCAGCATGTGTGGAGAGAAAGTAGAGTTAATGTTTTTGGTCCAGTGATCCTTCTTCAGAACAGAATGTACCACTTTAATTGTGGGACAGATGGTTCTATAGTTCTGTCTCACTCTTTAAGTCTCATTTTTAATCATGTTCAAATCAAACTTCAAGGTACAAACGGTATCTAACCCATAATCGATTTCTGCTGGTTTGCCTGCCTCTTAAAAGCTGTCATTGGGCAGAAGTCAGGAGAGACTGACAAGCATCAATTTGCAGGATTTCCACAGTGACTGACATCAATGCAGTGCCTATTCTGCAGCTTTAAGGGACGGGCCAGTTAAAGAAAGATTCATTTTCACAGCAAACTCGCAAACCTATGACTAATCGCATCCTTGTAGACTGATGTAGAATTTATGAACTCTCCCCTGCATCAGACAATACTTTGTTGCTGTAAAGTTTTACAAAATGTTATTCTCAAAATACTCATCACACAAAACAATTGCAAATTCTACATTCTGTGACTCAAGATCACTTTACTAATACAATCCAGTGTTCTGAATTCTCCTAAAAGCAACAAAATAATGACACAAGTTACACTGAGAAGTTAAACATTGACAGATTAATATTCTCAATATCAAAGAAATATTAATCTTAAACACCTAATACTAAGTATTAAGTCATAATTCTCCGCTAAATTTCTTGCAGTAAAATACTTAAGGTCTGACAGCAATATGATGGATGGGAAACTTTATTTCATCTCTTGACTGAAGGTATCATTTGAAGTTACTCCCACCACAGCTATAGATTGAAGCCAATGTCCCACGACTTACAGAAAATACAGATCATCACACGGACACTGCTTG